TAATAGGTGATTGACTATTAATTCATTGTATATTACTGGTAGTTCTTAGTGGGTAATGGAAAGAGGCATGGCAGATATTAGCAGGCTGAAACATTTTACCATCAACTCCTTTGTGCAAGAGAGGTGCGTAAAAGATATCATCCAAGAAATGTATGACCAGAAAGATGGGTCATCCTGTAGTGAGAATGAGAGATAATAAAAAGATAGTCCAAGTGTTGCCTACCAAGCGGTAAAAGTATTAGAAGTCAGTCCTCCACCATGTCAGAAACATGAATCCTCTATAGAAGATTTAAAGGATATGACAGAAAAGTGCACTTTTATTCATTCAATAAGCATTTATTATGCACCCACTGTTTGCAAATATGAGAGAGAGATAGATAGATAGAGAGCTGTATCTGAAGCCAGGAAGTCCATAATTCAAATCCTGCCTGCCTCTGACATGTATTTTGACTCTGGGCAAGTCACTTAACCTCTCAGTTCTCTGGACAACTCTTTAACACTACAAGTTGAAGAAAAGGTTATGACTTGCATTGGTAAAGGAATCACATAGGAATCCTCTATTCTAATGAAATCACAGGCCCCTAACCTTTTGACTAGCCACTGTGCTGTGGGCTAAGGCCCCGAAGACAAAAACAAGATAGTCCCTGACCTCAGGAAGCTTATATTCTACTAGGAGGATGGGAAGGCATGAAGGCTTTGCTATTTGCACTTGCAAAGGGCGCACCCATGCAGATGAGATCACAGATCCATTTAATAAATGAATAATCAAGAGCACAGGAAAAGAAAGCCATTTAGAAAATTATTTCAGAATGCAATCAGTTTATTTTTCAGATCACCTTTTGAAGAAGCTACTAAAAGATATTAGCTGAAAATGAGATATGCACACAAGGTGTTCTAGACCTAAATGAAAAACTTTAACTTAATGTTGCTGATTATGTGCCACCTATCCAAGAGTTTTGAAATAATTGAGGAGCAGCTAGGTGGCTCAGTGGATAGAGCATTGGCCCTTGATTCAGGAGGACCTGAGTTCAAATCTGGCCTCAGACATATAACACTTACTAGCTGTGTGGCCCTGGGCAATTCTCTTAACCCCACGGCCTAGCAAAATAATAATAATAATAACAATAATAATAATAATAATAATAATAATAATAATAATAATAATAATAATAATAACAATTGAAAGCAAAATTGGGGGACTGATAATCAAAATGTGTAACCTGCCATGGTCACACTGATCATTGCACAGACCTACTTGGGGAAAAAGTGTAAAGAGAAATCTGGCACTGAGAATTCTTTGTGGGGATGAGTAAGCATATAGACAAAGGAGAATATTGTATTCACCCTAGTTTAATAACATTAAAAAGCTGAGGAATAGCTGGTTAGGCAGTAAAGTGATGAAGTGGAGAAAGTACAGGACCTGGCATCAGTAAGACCTAAGTTTGAATCCAGTCATAAACACTTAATAGCTGTGTGCCTTTGGGCACTCCATGACCTAACCTTTCTCAGTTTCCTCTCTTAGCCTCAGTTTCCTCATCTGTAAAATGGGGATAATAATAGTGCCTACCTTTTAGGGTTGTTGTGAAGAGCAAATGAGTTAATATGTGTAGAACACTTTGAAGACCTTAAAGCACTATATAAATGCTAGCTGTTGTTGTTGTTGTTGCTACTGTATGTAGAGGAAAGTAACCAAAATAATAAAGGGCCTTGCATAAATGACTTATGAGGACTGATCAAAGGAAATGGACTTGTTTAGTCTAGAGAAAAGAATCAGGGTGGACATGATAGCCGTATCGAATTATTTGAAAGGTGGTCATGTCAAAGTGGAATTGGACTTCTGTTTGGCTATCAAGGCCAGAACCAAGAACAAGGTGGATACAAAGTGCTACAAAGAAAATTTAGGCTTGATTTCAGGAAAGAAAAAAAAAAACTTTCTAAAGATTGGAACTGTCCAAAAGTCAAATGGTTTGCCTTGAGGAGGGATAGGTTCCTCTTCTTTGGAGGTCTTCAAGTAGAAGTTGGCTTACCACTTATCTCCGTTATATTATAGTAGAGATTCTCATAAGGTCGACTAGATGGTCTTTGAGTTCTCTTCCAACTCTCAAATTATGTGATTCTATGAGAGAAGTTTTGATTTTTAAAAATCCCATACAAAAGATTGTTTTAAAAAGCTAAGTTGTCATAGAATAGGATGGAATATTTTTTCATAGAGATTGAATAAATCCAGTAAACAAGGGTTAAATGATCATGGTAGGGAGAGGCAGGAGGGCAAGGAGTAAAAATATTAATCTTACAGTCTCCCAGTCTTATTATATGATGTTTTATAAATGATCTAGAAGAGGAAGTACACAATAAATTCTCCAGCTTTGAAGATGCGGCTGGACTATTTTGGATAGGGAAATGTCAAGTTAAAACTAAGCTGCTAGAAAATCTCTAAAGCATGCCTGAGTGGGAAGAAAAGTGACAATTAACATTTCATGTGGGTGAGTGTAAAGTGATCTTAACTATGTTTAGAGGATCACAGTTCCTGGGCTGTTAATTACCACTCAGGAATCTAGGTTAGACATAATGGTCACTGAAAGCCCTTTCTAACTCTCAAATTCTGTGATTCCATGAGAGAGGTTTTGATCTAGGAATCATAATAAACTAATCACAGAAGCCCAAAAGTGGCAAGGGAACAAAAAGCAAAGAAAATATGGCAGCAATATTTCAAGGTTCTCTGATTTCATTGATGTGAAATGAACCATGGCACCAGTTTGCAAACCACCCCTCCCACTCCTCTCCCAATCCTTGATTTTAATGGTTAGTTTCACAACCTTTTGGACAAAAATCAATTCACTATCTATTGGCCAACTTCTGTTAAAGAGCTTCCCAACATTATCAAGTTTGCTTTTTGGAGAACAATTACTCCATCCTTTGTCAGGCCCATCTCAACAGTCTTTCTAGCTTGGTAATACTTTCCAGAGTTTATACAACACTGGCACAATCCTCCTCATCAATTCTTAGTCTTCATCCTTCTTCATTGCTGCATTCAACATGTATCTTATCATATCATAAAGTTTGCAAATATAATGAAAATTGACTTGTTTTCAAATCCTAGAAGAGCAGAAACTGGGATAGTTACTGATGTTTGAAGAGGTGGTTTCAGGTCACATATTTAAAAAATGCTAGTTTAGAGAAAAGGTAACACCATTTGGAGAGGTGTTCCAAGGGAAAACAAAAACCAGCTCAAATTAAATCAAAAAACAGGATTTAGAAAATTTCCCAGGCTATGTTTGAAGCACCTCCTTAACCTTTTGGGACTGATATCCTGAAAAGAAAACATCTACTCCTACTCAACATATCTTTTTGGCACTGTCAGAGAAAGAATAATGGGCTAGTTGCTGTCAGAGCCTGCTCAGAATACAACTACAGCAGGTTAAGCAGGAAGAAAAAGGAATAAGGTATGATCTTCCACCCCAGGGTATATATGGTAAAGAACCAGCAAAGCTTCATCTCTGACAGCTGGGATTCCATAGATGCCCTCTGCCTAAACTTGACCCTTTTCAATCTGATTTGCTTTCCTAGAATTAGAAACTTGTGTATTTCTTGGTCATTTGTCTTGGATTTGCCCTTTATAACTTCCCTGTCCCTGTTGGTCTCCCCTTCAGCTCCTGCCCACCTGCATTCAGACTATCCCAATACCTAGTTAGTTCTCCAAGCTAGAGTTTCCTTATCTCTCACTGCAATTAAGAACCTGCTTAGCCTTCTCCCAGGCCCCTATTTTTTTTTTCTAAACCATACTTTATGACTCCAACTACCTCACCTACCTCAGGGTAGAAAACCTAATATTTTCACAGCCTCACCATTGATAGAATAGCTAGAGAATTTCTCTGATGAAACAAACTTCATTATTATATTCTTCTGATGGACATGTTCTGATGATTATGTTCTTCTAATATACTTTGGGACTTTCATTCAGAAAAACAGGATCTGAATCCCAGGACTGACATTATTCCCTGGGTGAAACTTAGTAGCTCTTGTCCAAATCACTAGACTTCTCTGAAACATAGTTTCTTCATGTATAAATTGGGAATCATACTTTCACTACCCATTTCACAGAATTATTGGGATGAAAACTCTGACAGTATAAGCTAATATTTATATACTATAGTAACCACTTTTATAAATTCTATATTGGATTCTTGTTAGCATTTGAAGTTTCTGAGTTGCTACTGATTTTACCTATTGTTTAACATTTACCAGTCATGTTTATTTGCTTGGAAGTTCCATATAATTGGAAATACTTGTATGAAAACCTATAACAGTTTCTAGAGCAGAGAAAAGGTTGGACCATTCCAGACAGTAAGAAAACCTAAGATCTTAAATTATATGTCAGAGAACTAGAAACAATTTTAGAGGCTATCAAGTTCAACCCCCTTAATTTACAGATAAAGGAACTAATATTAAGAAAGGTTAAATGACTTCTCAAAGTTATAGAGCTAGTAAGTGGCAGGACTGAAATCGAACCCAGGTTCTCAGACACCAAATCCAAGAATGGTTCCTTCCATATTCCAGGAATCCTTTCTCTGAGAATAAAGGACCTCTCTATAGGAGAGATTTAAAAAAAAACAAGAATAATTCATAATTACATAGCTTTTTGGCCTTTTAGAATCATATTTCCAAATGTGTTCCTTCACACTCACCAAATAATCCATCCCAAACTGGTGGTCCGGCAATACATCATGTTATGTTTTCATTACCCATGCTTTTTTTTTCAAAGTGCGCTGGGTAATTATAAGTGGAAAGACTATTGCAGTACCTCCCCTCCCTCTTTCCAAATTCATAATTATGCTGCAGAACTCTCCTAAAGTCTCGTGCCCAAAGAATTAAGGAATTCCTTACATTTGCCACCGATAATCTGTGGTTAGACGAGCAATTCTAACTAAGACAGTACCTTTCCCTTGGCTTCCCATTATTTGAAATTTCTGCTATTCATATACCTTGACTGAGATACCCACCTGTCCAAGGCCTCATGAGAAGCATGTCGATTTAGCACCACTCTGCCATAGTTTTGATCTCTGTGGATTAAAAAAAAAATAGTTCATAGAAATAGTTACTACAGTATTTGGTAAATATAAAACAAAGGAGAAGGGAAAAAAAGACATCACAATTCTCTTGCAAAGGTTTCTTCATTTCACTGCAGGCAAAAGAAAACAAGCTTCTATTTATTTTAACCAGTCACCACCTGACTGCTCATGAGGATATGAAAATAGTCTGTCAGTACAAAGGGCAATTTTTCTAATGTGCCTCATGACATTTCCATGAAGTTCAACAACTGCGTCAATTTTTCATTAAGGGGTGGGAACATGGGACCACCTACTTTTCAATGTATTTCAAATAGTTTTTTAAAGCAGAAAGGTGGATGCATAAGCCTATCCCAATCTAAGCAGGCAGTTGAACTTATATGAAGATTAATATGCGCTTATTTGAAAAACCTGGTAGATTTCATTTCAGATATCCAGACATCTTAATTTGAAATGATAGAATAGTGGGTTTGTAGATCTAGAAAGAAACTTAAAGGCTATCAAATCAAATCTCTTTAGTTTGCATTTGAAGAAACTGAGGCCCGGAGAGGGTAAGCAATGTGCCTACCATTCTTTTCCACAGTAGAAAAAAAAAAGCTTAGGGAAAATAAACAACAGTAAATGTAATAATTCAAAAGAGAAAGGGTGTTTTAGGCCTCTGAAACTACAGTTTCTCTAGTTAGAATAGACCCTCATATTTGCTATCTAAAAGCCATGTCTGCTTTACTTTGTATAATGACTTGAAAAGGAAACTAAGAAGCTTAGGCAATTTTAGGAAATGTCAAAACATGTAGTATGGTCTATGGACGTGAGCCAAGGCAGGAAGTATGTGGAGCTGCATCATATCAACCCAACCTGAAATACCACATTTTTTCTTAGCTTTGCTCCCTTCAAATTCCTCAGTACTGTGAAAATACATTTAATGAACGTAGAAAAAAGAATCATATTTATCAATTTTTAAAAAATTCTGAGCAGTGAGATTGAAATAATTGAAAAGGCTACTCTTGCTAGCTACTCTGGAGGTTCTGTGCCTTTGCCCACTTGGACTCACACCTGTGCGCTGTTGATACCTAACTCACTTTTCATGCTTTGCCATGCCATGAAGTTGAGAGGGAATGGCAGGAAGAAGGGGAGGCTCTCCACCTGTAGGAGAAGAATCACAAGCAGACCAGAAGCTGACCATCTAGAGTAAAAGAAAGGTGTTGCCAAAACCAATTTCCCCCTTGACCTGCAGCAGCCCACATCTGTCTATGGTCCTGTATCTTGTTAAGGAAGTATACTTGGTACAAAACCACCATCCATTCTCTCCTGCTGCTGCCTTGGAATAAATTAGGTCCTCAGTATCATTTGCATATGGGTGTATAAATTCCACTATGTCAGAACATTAAAAATGTCATATTGTATCAGATCAATGGTCCATACAACCTCACATTTTTATTTTGCTGTACCATCCTAGGCTATGTTCAGTTGGATGTTGTTGCCCCCCTACCATGATATCAACCTTAGAACATTAGAAATATTCCACACATGCCCCCTAACTTCTTTTAACCAAAGAGAAAAGCATTATGATGTAGTTCAAGGAGTGCTGGGTTTAGAGTCAAGAACCTCATTTGAGATCTTGGCTCTGTCACTTACAATCTAGATTAGTCATTGAATTTCTCTGGGACTTAACTCCTCATCTGTAAAATGAGGGGTGGGACTAGATGATCTCTAAAGTCCCTTCTAAAAGTCATTGACGCTATGATTCTAAGATTTAATGATAAATATTGAGGTACGATTGTATTGATAAATACATGAATCTGTATCTCCGCAATGCATGTGGCATATACAGTAAATTTTGGGCTAGTATGTGGCCCATGTTCATTAGTGTCCCATATAGGAAAACAATGGTGCCACAACAAAAGAACTACATCCTCCCAAGTACATAATTAGTAAAACTGAAAATTCACAAAATTCATGGAAAGGTTGAAGAGAAAGAAGCTTGGTTTCATTCTTATAACTGTAAACTGCTTGAGGGCAAGGATTATTTCATTTTTGGCTTACTAATCCCAGCACCTGGCATGGTACCTAACACATAGTAGGCAGTAACCAAATGCTCATTGATTAGTTGGTTGGTTGGTTGATTTTTTTTTCAATAGAACCTGTAATTTCACTGATATGACAGACTCTTGATGAGGAAATTCTTTTTACCAATGGAGATAATCACCACTTTGAAACAGTAGTAAAGAGTTGTCTGGTACATCAAGACTTTAGTGACTTTGCCAAAGGCTACATAACCTATAAGAATAAAGATCATATTTGAACCCAAATTTTCCCAACTCTGAGGTCAGTTCCCTATCCTCTACACTAAGGGTCTCCAAACTTTTTTGGTGTCATACCTCTGTTAGTAAAAATTCTTTTAGTATGAACCTCCTTCAACATATCATTTACTAATTTCTACATAATATGTATGAACTATTGTACTAGTAATTGTATATGTGATAAAACTTACACAAAAGAAATTTTAAAGGATAAAATTAGATGAAATAATATTTGATCCCAGAGAGCTAGTAGAGTCTATTTAGTAGGGAAGTGACAGAGCCACGACTATGCTTTAGGAAAATCCCTTTGGCAGCTGTATGTAGGATGAATTGGAGAAGGGAAATATTACTTGAGGCAGGGAGATTAACCAGAAAGCTATTTTAATAGTCCAAACATAATGACAGAATGAACTAGGATAAGTGCTGTGTGAATAAAACAGGAAATATGTTGTGGAGGTAGAAATGATAAGACTTGGCAATTGCTTTGACCTGTGCAATGATGGGAAATAAGAAGTTGAGCATAATAAAGTTATGACCTTGTGTGACTGGAAGGATGGTAGGGCCCTTAGTAGAAGTAGGGAAGTTCAAGGAGGGAAAGCAGGTAATGAGTTCTATTTTGTACATGTTTAGTCTGAGTCAACAAGTCCAATAATCAGAGATAAGGGACTCAGGAGAAAAATTATAGACTTCTGAAAAGAGATCTAGAAGTGATCTACAAGATGATGGTTAAATCCCATGGAGGTTAATGATGTCACTAAGTAAAAAAGCATATAGAAAGAAGAGAGACTAAAGCAAGGGTTGTAGATACAGATCATGATGGAGTAAAGGAGAATGAGAAGGGATAGTTCAACACGGAGGAGGAGAACCAAGAGAAAGGATCATCATGACAACCTGGAGAGGAGAGAAAACATATTTAAGAGGAGAGAGGGATCAGCAATGTCAAATACTTCCAAGAGGTCAACAAGGATGAGGATTGGGAAAAGGCCATCAGAACTGTCAATGAAGAGATTAGCAACTTTAAAGAGATCAGTTCCGGGTGAGTGAGGAGTCAAGAATATCAAAGAGGTTGAGAACCTGGGAGGTTAGAAGGTTGGATATACCATAAATAGAAAAAGGAAAGGTAGCTTTTGGGGAAAAAATAATATAATCTCATTTTATCCACACCTGTTCATTCTGTGCTATTCACTCTTTCCCAATGAAAAATGAAAAGTGTTGGGGGAGAGGGGAGTTTACTCACTAGCTACTGCCTTGGAGGGAAGAATTATTACTCAGGAGCACCTGAAGCAGCCATGAGATAATGGGGAGTTATAGAGTGCAGGGGTTAAGGATGCTAGAAAAAGGCAAAAAGAAGGGAATAAGCATTTATATATTATTTACTATGGGACAAGCATTGTGCTATGTGCTTTTTATAAATATTATCCCATTTGATCCTCACAACAACCCTGGGAGGTAGGTGCTATTATTTCATAATTTTATAGTTAAGGAAACTGAGGCAAACAGAAGTTTGAGTGACTTGCCCAGGATCACACAGCTAATAAGTGTCCAAGACCAGATTTAGACTCAGGTCTTCTTGATTCCAGGTTCAGAACTCTATCTATTTCATTCCCTAGCTATTTAAACTGCTTCACTTACTCACTTATTTGGTGAAGAAGGTATGGAATTTTACCTGCATAGCTACTCTGTGGCTACCAGGGTCAAGTTAGATTAAAATTCCCCTAAAGGGCTCACTTTTTGCATATAGCCAAGAAAGGCCCAGAGTACAGTAGACCTGCTATAATGGCTTGAATGTTCTAGCAGCTTCATGAAATATACAACCACACTTTTAGGAAGTCTGCTTATAGACCCTCCTATAATTCCTTGATTTCCTTCATAAATCAAAGATTGAGGGTTCTAAAAGGACATAGTCCTAGGATATTCCTAGTCACTGGAAGACTGTGCAATTACTCTGGGATGGAGTACATAATAGCTAAATTCCCCTGTCATTCAAATTGAATATGTAACATGTTAGGTAAATTATTATGTTATTATTCTAGGTAAGTAAATATAGAACAGTGGGCATTTCCTTAGATTGACAGGATTGTAGTTTGTTTGCTCCCTGTCAAGTCAAGTCAAATCAAACAAGTATTTATTTAGTTCCTACTATGTGCCAAGCACTGAATTAGTTTAAATAACATGCTATTTGTTTGGAATCTGGAAAATAAAGGTTTTTTAATTTCAATTTAGTGCATAAAACATAAATGCTTTGTCTGATAGACAAAAACAGAATCGCACTATTTCTGATTAATTATTCATATACAGCTAAGGATTCCCCACCCTCAAAATGATTTGCTTTCTAAATCTGATTCAGTTGATATACCTGAGTATGAATATACAGACATACACACATATATATACACAAATAATAATACCAAAACCATACCAAAACATAGAATATGTAACAAAATCAATGAAAAGGAAATTATTCATCTTTCTCAATTCATACGGGCGGTGCAATGCAATAAAAAGAACACTGAAATTGTAGTTCAAAGATGATCTCATATCCTAACTTACTACTTATATGATCTTGGACAAGTTTCTTAATGTATATGTGTCTGAAATTTTCCCATCTGTAAAAAGAAGATTTGTTGTTGTTCAGTCCTTTTAGTCATATCTGACTTTTCATGATCCTATTTGGGGTTTTCTTGGCTATGATATTAGAGTGGTTTGCCATTTCCTTTTCCAGCTCATTTTACAGATGAGGAAAAAAATGAGATTAGGTTATTTGCCAGGTGTCTTCCAGCTATTAAGTGTCTGAGGCTGGATTTGAACTCAGGAAGATGGATCTTCTTGCCTTGGCACTGCATCCACTGTGCCACCTAACTGCCCTTAAAATGTAAGTATTGGACTAGATGATCTGTAAGGCTTTACATCCTATAATTCTTCCCCCATCCCCATCCTTTCCCTGTTTCCTCCCCCTTACTTTTCTTCTTCTGGGCGCTTCTTTATCCAGCTGCTATCCTGTAAGAAAGTCCTTCGCTTGTTCACATCGTGAAAACCTTGTTGTCTCAGTGCAGTCCTCAGAGGAGTACTCTTTGCATCTAATCATTAAAACATAAAAATTTGCTTTATGTGACAACAGATAGAAATTGAGTTCCAGGATTTACAACATGGAAACATTTGCGATGGTGCATCGGATTGCCCAGTGTTAAATATTAAGACTGGCAAGCTCAAGAATGTTCCAACCTTAATGTGCTGACATGAAAGAACAAATTCCACACCTCTGTCATCAAAGATAACAGAAAAATGTTGCATAAATACCAATTAAAATTATAGATGCCAATCATCAGGCATGGTCCTAATGCCAGGAATACAGAGCTGTGAACCTGGCACAAACACCAACACTTTATTGACTCTGCTTTTCTCCCCCAGGTGGCTTTTAAAAACCCACAGAAGGAGTTTTGACCCAGAAGGGCCCTAGCAATGATCTAGTCTGTCTCTTTTGTTTTATAGATTAGTAAATTATAGGTTTAGTAATTGCCTATTGTATTAGTTTAGATGCTAGCACTGTACGTGTTGTGCATATTCTGATTTTATTAAAGGAAAAAGTTGAACTGGGAAAAAAAAAACTTAGCCCAAGAAAGGTTAAGGCACTTACTTAAGGTCATAGAGCTAATTAGTGGCAGACTGAGACTAGATCAAGGAATGCATTGGTAAATGTTTGTCAACTGCCTCTCCAAAAGTTACTCTCCAAAATAAAAAAAAAAACAGACATGACACACTTTTAAAGTTTAGTCTGATTTTTAACATTTTCTCTAACACTCTCTTAGTCTACTAGGGACCCACAAAACAATAAATCAATCCTGGCTGATTTCAGAAGTGTAAATGTTCACACTTAAAATTTAACCATGGACTCTCACAAGCCAGTTAGAGCTAGTTCAAACATAGCCTCAGGCTCCTGTTCCAATCAACTATTCGGAGAATCTAGAGGCAGGTAGGTGTCACAATGGACCTGGAGTCAGGAAGACCTGAGTTCAAATTTGGCCTCTAACACTTATAATCCTGAAAAAATCACTTAACCTCTATCTGCCTCAGCTTCCTCAACTGTAAAATGAGGATAAAAAATAGCACCTACCTCCTAGGGTTGTTTTGAGGATCAAATAAGATAATAATTATAAAGTGCTTAGCATAGTGCCTAGTGCTACATAAACATTTATTTCTTTTCCCATATACAGTTTCCATAGGTATTTCCTTAGTAGGAAAGTTCCTGCTCCTTGAAGGCAGTATTTCATTTTTGCTTTTGTATCTCCAGTGCCTAACCCAGTGTCTAGCACACAGTAGGAATTTTTAAAATCCTTTTTGAATTTACTTTAACTAAATTAGTAAGATATAATATCTTACATTATGGAAAATATGTTTTTGCCTCTCATCACATTTTCCTGCTCCATGTATTAAATAAAAGTCATTACTTGGGAGGAAGTACATGCAGGATTTATTTTTAAAATCCTTTACATAGTACCTGGCAAAAGACTTAATAAAAAGTTAAGCATTTCTATAGTACTTTAAGGATTGTAAAGTTATCTCATTTTATCCTAACAATAACTCCATAAATTAAGTGTTATTACTATTCCTATTTTGCAGATGAGGAAACTGAGGTTTTACCATAAAGCTACTATGTGTCTGAGGCAGGATTTGAATTTAAGTCTTTCTGATTCCAAGTCCAGCATTCTATCCACTTCATTGCTTCATTTAAGAAATTTTTGTTATTTTGAGATACCTGAAATCCTCAGCCTTCATAGTAGCCTAGAGTTCACCACAATTTAAATCTTTTATTGTTTGGTGTCTATTAAAATGTAGGTGTATGGTCTAAAAATAGGAGCACCATTCCTTCTACTGCATTGCTTTTTGTTTGTTTATTTCCTAATGAATGAAATTAGATTATACTTAGGCATGATTTCTATATAACTGCTATGATCGGAATGATAGTGTCATTATTTTGTTGTTCGGTTTTTTCAGTCATGTCTGATTCTTTGTGATCCCATTTGAGGTTTTCTTAGCAAAGATACTGGAGTGGTTTGCCATTTCCTTCTCCAGCTCATTTTACAGATGAGGGAACTGAAGCGAACAAAGTTAAGTAATTTACCTAGTGTCACATAGCTAGTAAGTGTCTGAGACTGGATTTGAACTCAGGAGGATGTGTTTTTCTGTTCCCAGGCCTGGCACTCTATCCACCATGCCACCTAGCTACCCAAGTATCATTATATCATATTCAGACTATATCTAGAGTCTTTTATTTACTTCTCGTTACCACATTGCATGACTGATACAAACTGGAGCAAGAGAACACAAAACTACATCATCCAAGGATCAAAAGAAAGAACAAGAGATAAAATATTCTTCCTCAATAGCTCTTGTGTGTAGGAATTGTTTTATGTTTTGTATTTGTGTTCACAGCCCTAGTACAGTGCCTGGCTCATAGAAGGCACTTGATATACGCTCACTAATGGATAAATATGCTAGTTATGAAAGATAATCATCTATATTACCATTTCCAGGAGATGATTTTCTCAAGGCAATATTTGACATGTTGTCATCCAGTCAGGATCTGAAATAAAGTGGTAAAAAAACAAAGAAACATTAAGTTTATGAATTTAATTTGGGGCTGTTTTAGCACTTCCCTCAAACCCTTGTGTTTATTTCCTTGAAAATATTTTGAGTCAAACACAAACTGTACTCTACTGGAAAGTAGTTTATGAGTACATTTAGCTTCAAAGAGTGTAAGAATCAAGAGGTACCTTGCGGTATACCTAGACTAACACTTTTACTTTACAGATGAGAAAAAGTTCAGAGGGAGGAAAAGCCTGGTATTTCTTTCTCCTTTGCCTCTAGAATGAAGTTCAAAATCTTTAGCTTGGTCTTTACCACTATTTACAATCTGGCCCCAACTAGTCATATTTCTTTCCATTACTCTCCTTGGTTTGTCAGTCATTTTTTCAGTCATGTCCAATTCTTTGTGATGCCATTTTGGGGTTTGTTTTGGGCAAAGATACTGGAGTGGTTTGCTGTTTCCTTCTCTAGGTCATTTTACAGATGAGGAAACTGAGGCAAACAGGGTTAAGTGACTTGCCCAGGGTCACACAGTTAACGAGTGTCTGAGGCAGAATTTGAAGTCAGGAAAATGAGTCTTCATGACTCCAGGCTCAATATTCTATCCATTGCTCCACCTAGCTGCTCCATACTCCCCTAAACACTCTCTATTCTAGGTGAACTGGCATACGAGTTCTTCCCCAAATTCACTTTGCTAGCACTTCCTCTATAATATTCACATTCCGCACCTGGAAAGCATATATGCATCCTTAAATTCTTCTTCTAGACTCAGCTCCAATGGCACCTCTGCCGTAAGAGGTGATCTGGACAGATCAGACCTCTGATCTGCCCAGAGGAAAGTTTTCTTTTCCTCCTCAAATATTTCTAGGTCTGAATCTTGTGTTTGCCCTTAACATTCTCTATCTTACATTGAAATGTCATCTCCTTGAGGGCAAGAACTCTATGTATACACCCTTCATTCAACTGTATAAAAAATTGCATCAATGAGGAGTTGTATATTGTCTGTTTTTAAGTCTTAATTTGTACCTTGTACCCAAATTACTGAGAAGAAAAACTAAAGAGGCCTTCTTGGACACTAGTAGAGATCATCAAGTATTTTCTCTTATCTAAAAGAGGACAAGAAGGAGAGGCAGTATGGTGTAATGGATAGCGATATGTCCTTGCAGACAGGAAGACCTGGGTTCAAATAACACTTCTGAATTAACAATCTAGTCCAACTCCTTTCTGAAGCCTGAATAACATCACGATGGCTGTTTGATGCTTGGCAGGTCACATAATTTCTCAGTGCTCTAGGCAACTTTCTAAGACTGTAAGTTGCAAAGTAGGTAGCCTTCATTGGTAAAGTGAGTTTCCTCACCAGCTAGTTCCCTCTACAAGTGAAATTAAGTCCCGGGGCTTATTCTATTACATGAATGGACATTGTTGTTGCTACTGTTCAGTTGTGCCCCCATTTGGGGTTTTCTTGGCAAAGATACTGGAGTGATTTGTCATTTCCTTCTCCAGATCATTTTACAGATGAGGCAAACAGGGCTAAGTGATTTGCCCAGGGTCACACAGCTAGTGTGTGTCTGAGGCTGGATTTGAACTCAATTAATGAATATATGCAATCTTAATTTTTATATAGTCAATCTATAAGAAAACTGTTAAAGTTAATCCTTTTACCTAAGAATATTGACAGATAGTCTGCCTTTCTTTACATTTGATGAGAGATAATTGCCACCTAATCAAGAAAGTACATAAATGTCTGCACTCTCTGAGGGAACGTTCCCATTGACCCTTGTATGTTCTCCCAGGGTATGCTCTGTGCAACTAATAAGGAGATGCCTATCAAACTGAAAGTTAAATCCAGAGAGAAAAGCTAGTTCTCAAGGAAGTGGTGCAGTTATCAAACACATGCTATCTCTATTAGATGAGACAGAACCAAGAGTTCTCCCTTAGAAAGTAAGTAGACTGGAAAGAATGATTTTCAATATAAGAAGGGAAGTTAGTCTGTCAGGCTTTAGTATAATCAAAACAAAACAAGATGATGAAGATGACTGACATGTGCTAGGATTGACATCCACCTCTGAAATCAAGCCCCAAGAAGCCAAAGCAATTGTAGGAAGTGACCAATAGCAAAAGAGTCCAACAGAACTGTCCCCAGCTTATGGTGACTAAAGGTTCTATGGAGGCTACCATAGTTACTATGCTGCTTTTTCTACACCAGTCCCTGTTTCCCCAACTCATATCCATGCAGCACTAACAGACTTTCAAAGTATTTTCCTCACAGCAACCCTGAAAAATGTAGTAACTGGGTAAGGTGATTAGTAAACCTGGGTTTCAGTTTCCTCATCTGTAAAATGAACAGGTTCAAGGAGATGGCTTCTGAGATATTTTCTAGCTTTAGCTCTATTATCCTATGATTGGAATTCCCATTTTGTAGATGAGAAAACCAAGGCTCAGAGAGATGAAAATGGAAGGGATATCATAAGTGTGCTGGAGCCTGCTGGAGAAAGCCAGATGTTAAATTTTCAGTGTGAGTATTTTACATCTCAGAAAGCAGCAAATGCTACAAATCAGAATTTGAGTTATTGTTTTGCTGATTATCTAGATTTAAGAAAATGAGGGAGAAAATGTTAATTGTGGAGAATAAACTTATTTTTAAAGAGTCAGTTGCTAACCATCTACCAGCATACTCCTGGATATGCAACATGTTGAACAATAGAATAAGTATCCAAAAATACCTCAACGGACTTGGATAATGAGCCATATTTACTAAGATAAAATTCAGTAGAGATAAATAACTAATTCATAGAATAATAGAATTAGGAGGGTTCTTACCAGCTCTCTAGTCCAAAACCTTTCTGAAGCATGAATAACATCTTTAATGACCTAAGTGGTCATAAATACTCATTGTGTACATTCTCAGGGATAAGGAGCTAACTACCTAACAAGATTCTATATTCCATATTTGGGAAGAACTCTAACAACTAGGAAGTGCTTCCTTACTCTTAGCAGAAATGTGTTTTCCTGCAACTTCCATCCACTCATCCTTCTTCTACCATTTAGGGACAAGCACAGTACAGTTATCCCTTCCACATCCGACTTTCCCCATTGCAGTTTCGATATATTGCAGGTCAGCATAAGAAATTAAATGGGAATTTTTGGGGAATTTTGTGGAAGCCATGGACATCACAGAAAAAGTTTAGAAACTCAGAAATGAATAAAATATATGTATAGCATTGTATATGTATTGTATCAACATATTTTATCTTTTAATACCATAATAATTCGAATTTCTTCTTTGGTACAAAGAGAGGGCCAAAAGATTTTACATGGATTTTCCAGATCACAGAGGCGCTGGTGCCCCTAACCCCTGTGATGTGGAAGGAATAACTATAATCAAATTTCTTTTCTATCTTCTTCCTTCATTGGTTTGAAGTGATTGAGTGATGCTTAGGTCATGTCTTCTCCAGGTTAAATAGCCTCAATTCCTTCAACTGGCCCTGTTGTGATATGGTTATAACCTTCCTTACCCCTCTGATTGCTCACTAGCTTGTTAATGTACCCTCCTAAGATGCGGAAATGAATGAAATATTCCAGATGTAGTCTGACCAAGGAAAAGCACAAGGGCAACAGAACCATTTTTATTCAGGACCTTCTATTTCTACTATTGTAGCTAGATCATCTCATTTTTGTTATCATACACACTATCATCATATACTGAATCCACAATCTAAAAAAACAAAACCCTAGGTCTTTTCTACGTAACCTGCTACCTGATTATTTCTCTCTCATTCCATACAGGTCTACAGTTGGGTTAAAAATTTTCACTTTGTGATACAGAATGCAGATTCTGTGGCTAGATAGTAGTTCAGATGAAAAAGTCTGGACTGCAAGGTCAATATGAGCCAGCAGTATGATATGATAACCAAATAATCTAACATGATCTAAGGTTCTCTTGATAGAAAGATAGCATAAGAAGGGGAAAAAAATGATAGATCATCCATCTGTTGTCTGCCTGGTCAGGCCATATCATAGCATTTTTAATATCTTAAATTTTTTAATGTTCAATTTTTATTTTTAAGAAGGACATTAAGTAGATAGTGTTTAAAGAAGAGTGGCCAGTGTGGTCCAGAGACCAAAGACCATCTTACTTGAAGACTGATTTAAAGAACTGAAGATGTTTAGCCTGAATATAGCCACCTTCAAAGTATGTGAAGGGCTGCCAAAGGGAAGAAGGAAATGTATCTCCCTATAACTTTCATCCATTCATCCTACTTTTAAGTCACAGAGGTCAGAGCATAGAGTAATAATTAGAAGTTGAAGAGACACAGATTACTTTTGATATAAGGAAAAACTTCTTGACAAGTAGAATTATCATAGGATCATAGATTGAGAGTTGGAAGAGACCTGCAGATTATTAAATATACCTATCTCAATCTAGAGATGAGGAAATTGAGGCCCAGAAAAGTTAAGTGGATTTCCCAGGACAACACAGCTAGTAAGTGTTTGAGGTGGGATTAGAACTCAGATCTTTCTGACCTCCTACTCCACTATTCTCTAATGAGCTGATTGCTTCCCCATAGCTAGGATGGGGAACTAAGGATGTTGTACTAGACATGAGGACCTCTGAGATCACTTTCCAAACTGAGTCATTTTGAAATTTCTTGTACAGAGTTGCAGGGCTAGTATTAAAGCTAAGAACCTTGGTCTTTTGACTTGAGGGCCAGCGCTTTTCTCACTACACTAGGATTGGCTATGCCTTCCCTGTAAATCCACAATTTCCCTCCTTGTTCCACTGCATAGATTCCTTTATTTGCAATTTAATCTCTCCTTCATTATAATCTCTTTGTATTCTGTCAGTGTTTCATGGTGTTTTTTTTTTTAATTTTCCTAAGTGTGCCCCATTTCCCTCCTCAGGCTTGTTTGCTTCAGACTCCAGTGGAAGTCAGCCAGACAAAACATGGGCAACTGAAGAGTGATAACAAGTGATTAGTGACCTGCTTTTAAAGGGCC